AGTAGCAACTAGTGTTTACATTTAACCACAGTGAGATAAACCCTTCATTATAAAATTTCACAATAGTAAGAAAAAATATATAAAAATTGCAGAGGGAAAAGATAACCAGCCTCCTAGAAAAGAACAAGAGAGCTCGTCTTTCTTAACAACTCTCTGGATCAGGAAGTTACTAAAAAGATACAGTTAATGTTTAATTTCTAATCTAGGATTTCATATCCAGACAAACTTCCAGTCATGAAAAGGGGCTACATCCTACATATTGTACATAAACAAATTTGAAAATTATAGTTCCTATTTTGGAAAGCAGTTGGGAGACCAGCAGTATATCAGAACCTTTAAAATATTTGCTATGATGTAAAATGTTTTTAAATGAATCTATGAAAAGAAAAAAAGAATCTATGAAAATTATTGCAAATATGGGTAGACTTTCCTTAGAGTGGTTTTAAAATCTTAAAATATTGAGAAGTTAGAAACAATCTCAAGCTGAGCCATAAAATTTCATTAAACCCACTCAGTGTGATATTTTATTTTTCTACTAAAACATCTTATTCTTACTCACTGCCACCTAGTCAGAACTGACGCATGGCTGACCTGCCAGCGGGTTTTCAGAGGTTGTGAATCTCAGAGAAGACCACACATCTTTTTCCTAAGGAGCAGCTCTTGCATTTGAACCTCCTGTCTTTGAGCTTACAAGTGTAACTCCTTAGCCACTAGGCCACCGAGCTCCCTCCAAAATATCAGGAGTGTGACTCCTCTTGATCAAGTGAGAAATGACAGATTCAGTATTAAATGGGAAAAGAACCGAACATAGACTTGGATATACAGAATCAACAGCAGTGTTCCAGAATGATAGGCAATTCCTGAAAGGAAGTTTGAAGCTGTGAACAAGGAAGAAAATGACTCCAGAATCCTCTTTATCTCCTTAGGATGTTAAGCAAGTTTACTTTTCACTTCATATTTCCTTTAAGGAGCATTACTTGTAATGAGAGAGGGAACACATTATTGGCTTTTTTAAAAAATTATTATTTATTCATTCATGTACACTTTGTTCCCTCTCCCTTCCTTCCTCCTCCCCCTCCTCTCCCACTTCTTGTAAAATTATTCATTGTAATACACGTGATTTCTAACCCTTCCTTTCAGAGTGTCCTCCTTTTCACTCATTCCAGCTCCATATTATCTGCCCATTCTTTTCCTCCTCTTTCCCCCTCCCTCAGTCTCAATTTTATTAGTAAAATAGTGGGCTTATGCAGCATTTGTGACTGAGAGATTTCAGCATAATGTCTTTCCAACTCATCCACATTGTGTGATGTTTACGTTCTAGTCTATCTGACTCTCTCCACTAGAGGGAGAAGCGATTTCATGTATTTGCACTTTGATGTGCTTTTTAGAAACAGTCAAGAATGGAGTCTTTTTCTTTCCTTTTTCTATTTGTGACAAGGGTTATAGTTATTGTTCAAAATAGTTATGAAATAAGTTTCAGATACTAAACCTTCACATGAATAGTAAGAGGAATTTAGAGATGCCCCCCCCCCAAAAAAAACCCCTTTGTTTTATTTAACTGGCTGTAGTTAGATGCCATCAGGTCCTTTGCACTCCCTGTAGGACGGGCCCTGTATGCAGAGCAGAACTGCTCCATGGAGGAGTCATGGCAGGAGCAGGTCCCAGTCCAGGAGCACACACATCTCTGTATTTCAACCTCAGCCTTTCAGCTAGTATTGAGACTAACAGAACATTCAAGAATATAAAATTGTTAGTGTATTTATTGGTTCTTTTCACACATAAGTCATTGATTAGAACATGAATATTACTTGATGAGAAGAATGAAAAACTTTTTTAAAGGAAGTAAAAGCTACCTTTACATACACAGATACTTTTAATCTGCTTTGTCTTCAAAAGTTGTCAGTGTTAGTAAATCCTTTACTACACCAGAAAATCTTACTAAATTTATGTACTGTCTACCAAGAACAATGAAAATACAGAACTCCTAAAGCTGGTTTGATGATGCTGGTTCACACCTCTTGTTTAAGAGGCTTCATATCACATTTCTTAGGACAAACAAGCTACATTATTTAAACCAACCCAGTTTGGAGACTTTAGGTACTCTTAAAATTTATTTATAAACCTGTGACATGATGTTTATAAATAAATCTTTGCACATGTATTTTATTTCTGCAGGGAAAATTCCCAGATAGAACTAATGGTATGTGTTAAAGATTCTCCAGAAAATAGTACTAATTCACTCTTGCAGTGTCAGTCAGTGTACAGTGGAAGGCCTTCCCTTGTACCCTCACACAGATGCATGTAACTTACTCTCGCTCTGAATTTTTCTCTGTCATCTAACACTACTGTATTAGGAATATCATAACTTGAAAATTTGATAGGTTAAAAAAAAAGTGATTTCCAACAGATATTTGCAGAAGGATGGGCATTCTCCTCCCGTTCGATGTGCTGCTTCTGAAAACCCTGCAGAGGGTCAGCTATGAGTTGATTCTGACTCTAGTACACAACAACAATAGATGATTGTCAAATTGTTCAATCTCAAGGGGGGGGGAAATCCCTTTGCCCCTATTAAGATGTAACAATACAGTCAGATTGTCTTCATGGGAACGTTGGTGGAGTAATTCGTAGGTAGGTAGGTTGTTAACCCACAGGTGGCACCTCTGGCCATGCAAGTCCCCAGCTGCTCTGAGGGAGAAGATGAACAGTCTGCTTCTGTACCATTCTCAGCCTCGTGAAAACCCCTTGCAGGGTCAGCTGTGAGTCTGCTCAGACTCCACGGCAGTGAGTTTTGAGGTTTTTTAATTTGAGGTTCTCTTCTAAAAATTTTCTACACCACCATTTTTTATACAGTTACAGTGTATTACAATGAGGATTTAAATATAAAGAAAATTTGTGTGTGGTTGTCAATTAACTAATAAACTCTTTAAAAAACATTTTGTACTCTGAGGTTAGTTTACATCCTGGTATGAATTTATTATTAATTATATTTCAATTATATATCAGAATATGTTTTTATATCTTTAATTCCTTTGGAGTGTGAAGGCTGGCTGTGCTAACCTCTACAAAAAAATTATCTTCGGGATCAAATATTCTGGCATTCCAACAGTTTCAAAATCTCTGAGGTAAAAGTTCTGAAAGCATCGTATAGCAAAGGAAAGGTAAGAGATGCAGCGGTCTAAACAGGGAAGAATGAAGACAGCCAAAGATGACAGCAGGCAGTCCACAGAACTAATGGACTGTGAAGACCTCAGCCTCCAGAGGTCCAAAAGAACTAGGTGGTGACCACTCATTACTACTGACCACTTTGAAAGGGATCCACCTGTGTAGAGTAGGAGAATGTAGAAATAGACTCAAAGCATAAAAAGACTGCCCTTGCTTTTCTGATAGAGATGCTGAAACTCCCCAGCTTTTAGGTGCCCTTCAGACCTGGCGCTGGACTAACCATCCAAGCCCACCCCCAACAGACATCTTTTGACCAGACAGTACAGCGCCAAAGTTCACAGCAACACTGAGGACGTGCACACTCATTAGAACAGTCAGCCATTCAGATCACTGGGCAACTTTGCCTAGGAGTAAGCTCAGAGAACAGGAGATTGGAAAGACAGTGAGAAAAAGCAGCACAGGGACAGAACAGGAAGAGTGCTATTACAGTGTAGGGCCTGTAGTCAGTGTCACAGAATAATGTGTGAATTGGTGACCAGAAAAACAACTTGCTGTATAAACTCACTCGAATAACAATAAAAAGTTAAGATTCTTCTGAGTTTTAGGTGGTTTGTACTCTGTCTTACATGTACATGATGATGGAAATGACTCATAACTGACCCTTTACCAGGTATTGGGCAGTAATCACAGAAGAACAGGAGGTTCCCCTTCCCACATAGCAGCTGGTGGATACAAACCACACATTTTTGCACTGGCAGCAAAGTGATGCTTACCTGTATTGCTATTGTCATATTTATGCTTCTTTTTTTACCCTCCAGTATTTCATAAAATTAGCACTATAAAATGTTTCTGTGTTAATGCTCACTGGGCCCATTGTTTTAATTACCTGTAGCCAGAAAATACATTAAAATACAAATACAGTCCTTGAACACACCATAGGCCATAGGTTGGTAGGACGTTTTTTAGTTCTCTGAGTATACATTGCATTGAAGACAAAGTCTTGGCTAAGCTGTGATGTTATTAAAAATGTTTACAATCTTTAAATCTTCCTTTTTGTTTAGTAAATGCAGATGTTCTGTTCATTTATTGCTGCATAATAAATCACCTTCAACAATAACAATCATTTCTTTGGCTCCTGAACATACAAGTTGAGTAGTATATTTTCTACCACTGCAGACTTAGCATTAACAGCCATTTATTAGCTCAGGGTTCTATAGTACAGAAGTCAAAGGACAGAGAAGTTCTTGGCTGGTTCTTGGCTCAGAGTACCAGAAAGCCAAAATTTGCCTTGTTGCATCATAGTCTGGAGTCCAGAAAAATCTACTGAGCTTATTCAGGCTATGCACATTGTTCATTCAGTTGTTGGTTTGACAGAGGTCCTGGTATCCTTGCATTTGTTCCTTCATGGCCTTCCCTTACAGTCCTTAAAGTACAAGACGTGTGTTTCCTTGTTCCTTTTGAATGCATCAGGAGAATTGAAGTATAAGAAAGCTGTGATAGAGGACGTCTCTGAAGCAGAAAGTAAATTCTCCTTTCATGACTTTCCATTTCTTATTTTCTAACTATCGTGTGTGTGTGTGTGTGTGTGTGTGTGTGTGTGTCTATAGGAAGCTACTAGAAAGCTTTTCTGCAAAGATTGATATATAAATGAATCTGTAATGGGCTAGTTTTGTGTGAGAAGTCTTGCTAGCATGGTATGGTAGTAAAATTAGTGTGTTACAGTCTTGATATCTGAGTTCACTTCTGGATCCACTCCTAAATCATTTTGAAACCTATATTAGCAGTTTTTAAAAAACAGTGTTCTAAATTAACTACATTTACTCTACTTTTGATTCTAGGAAAAACTGGAAGAGTGCCTGAAGCAATTAAAGGAGGAGCGAGTAATAAGGCTCAACGCTGTAAAACGAGTGAACGAGGTAAATGAGAGTTTTTTCCCCGTACATTTTTTTAATTTCTTTTGATTTTATTTAAGCCACATTTGATGCACATTTTATGAAGTTCAGAATGAGAAGTTATAGGTTTCGTCATAGAGTATATACTCCGAAGATCTGTAGACCTGTTTTCCCCAATGCTTTTATGTGACTTCAAGTCTTTTTCTGTTTATGATGCTTTATTTAAAGAAACATTTGTGGATATGCAGAGTTTGGGAAATAAAAGCAAATACTGCAAATCACCAAAAAAGAAAAATGAGGGAGAAGTTCTTAGGATACACTGAACATACATTAACATAAGAGACATGATGACCTTCTCTACTGACTTAGGTAACTAGGAAAACAGCAGTAGAAAACTGCTAAGGATAGAGTGAAAGATAAATTGCACTGTAGAGATTAAGTGGGACGTAAGTGAAAGTTCTGTGCAAATATATTTCTATAAGGTAAGCTTTCAGAGAGATTTTTTTTAAGTCCTGCATTGGACTGGCATATACTCACTGAATTAATAGCACCTGATTATATAAGACAAAGGTGTATCATGAACAACATGGCCTTTCTGAGAATTAGTAAAGTTAATCTTATTAAGTGGCGTTAAATAACAAGATGACAAGTAAAATTAATGTTTTTAACAAGGAGTTGCTGAAGAACTGAATGGTGCCCAACAGCCATTAGTAACATTTTCATCAGAGATTCCATGGGAGACTCTTGATCCAAAGAGGGAATACCATTCTTCTTCATTACCATTGAGTTGGAATCAGCTCAGACCCACTCCTCCAGCAGTTTTGGAGACTGAATCACTCTAGAGAAGATTGCGTGAGAGAAAGAGATATTGTTTTTATCTCATGGACCAGCTGTTGGATTCCAATCATAAAGGAAGGTTAGTGGTATAATTTCCTAAGTGCAAAGTGTGTTTGGGTTAGCTGTGCAGCTTGTAACAGTTTGCCTAAAGGTAGAATCCAGAGCAAAATTTCAAATTCCCAGGCTCCCAATGAGTGCAGACCAGATGAGTTGTGGGATGATGTCAAAGATAACATCCATGGAGAAACCAAAAAGTCATTACAAAGACCAAAGAGAAAAAAACCCAAAATGGATGTCAGATTAGACTCTAAAAACTTGCCCTAGAGCATCGAGAAGGGAAAACATGCTGTAGTAAGAGAACTGAACAGAAGATTTCAAGGGGCAGTTCAAGAAACAAAGCAGTGTATTGTAATGGAGTATGCAGAGAGCCAGAACTAGAGAATAAACAGGGAAGAACTTACTCTGCATTTCTCAAGCTGAGAGAACTAAAAAGCCAGTTTAACCTTCGAGTCACAATATTGAAAGATGCTATAGGCAATATAATGAATGATCCAGAAAGCATCAAAGGAAGATGAAGGGAATGTACAGTATCACTGTACCAGAGATAGCTGACTGAAAAATTTCAGAAAGTACCAAATGAGCAGGAACCAGTGGAACAAAGGAGGAAGTAGAAGCTGCATTGAAGGCATTGGCAAAAATAAGGCCCCAGGAATTGATGGGATACCAATTGACTTGTCTCATTTAACAGATACAGCCCTGGATGCGCTCATCAGTCTATGCCAGGAAATTTGGAGGACAGCTGTCCAGCCAACAGATTGGAAAAGATTCGTATTTGTTCCATTCTCAAGAAAGGTGATTCAGTAGAATATGGAAACTGTTGAACAGTATCATTAATATCACCTGCAAGCAGAATATAGCTGAAGATCACTTTAAAAATGGCTAGAACAATACATAGATAGGGAACTTCCAGAAGTTCAAACTGGATTTAAAAGAGGGCATGGCACCAGGGATATTGCTGATGTCGGATCCTGGCTAAAAGAAAAGAATACCAGAAGAATGTCTGTGCTGTATTGACTATGCAAAGGCATTTGACTGTGTGGACCAAAACAAATTATGACTAACATTGATAAAAACGGGAGCCCCAGAGCTCTTAATTGTGCTCATGTGAAACCTATACCTAGACTAGGTGACTATTGTGCAAACAGAGCAAGATTCTTAACCACTGGACCAATAGGCAACATCATGATGGAGAAAAGATTGAAATTGTCAACAACTTCATCTTACTTGGATCCACAGTTAACATCCTTAGTACCAACAAGCAGGAAAACAGGAGATGTGTTGCACTGGGAAAAGTTTTTACTCATTGAGTAATGATGTCAATTTGAGGACCAAAGTGCGTCTAATTCAGGCCATAGTCTTTCTTATCACTTGCTATGCATCTGAGAGCAGGACAGTCGATAAGGATGACAGAAGAGTTGATGCCTTTGAGCTTTGGTGTTGGAAAAGAGTACTGAACATCCCATAGACTGCCAAAAGAACACACAAATACATCTTGGAGAGGATGTAGCCAGAGTGCTTTTTGAAGGTAAAGATGATGAAGCTTCACCTCACATAATTCAGGCATATTGTTAGGAGGGGGCTATTCCTTGGAGAGGGACATGATGCTCAGAAAGGTAGATGGTCAGCGAAGAAGAGGAAGACCCTCGACCGTGTGGATTGATACAGTGACTACTGCAATGTGTCAGAAAGTGTGAGGATGGTACAGGATAGGACAGGAGTCAACTTGATGGGGTCTAACTGCAACATAGACTTTCTCTGGAGCCAGCGAAGCTGAATGAACTCTTTAAAAATAATCTTTGAACCTTAAACCAAAAATTTCCCTTGAAGTCTTCTTAAAGCCAAATAATATTTTCACTTAATAAAACCATTTGCCTTGAGCATTCTTCTTCTTTTAAGGGCTATCTCTATGGGTTCAAGTTGGCAGAAGCAATGGGAAGCTTAAATAGAAATTCGGAGGACAGTAGGTTTATGTTATTGGAGAGGAACAGTTTAGAAGAACATGTGAGGACAATATCACAGCTCAAAGGATGGAATCAGCATTACTGAATTGTACCTGTATAAGCTGTTGCATTAGTTTTTGTTTTTCTGTGTAAACTCTGTGTGTGTGTGTGTAAATTCTTAATTCCAAAATAAGGGAAGTTCAAAAAGCCAAGGAGAATACTAATAATCATAGTTAATTATTTTTAGGACTTTAAAACTTTTATGTTAAATACTGTGCTCCCTGAGGTAATCTTTAATACCAGTTATTGATGTTTTGTGCCACTGAGTCGTCTACGACTCATAGCAACCCTATGTACAACAGCCGTAGCCCTGCAATATCCTATGCCAATCTCACTGTGTCTGATACACCTAACCCCATTACCCCAGTGACTGAAGCAATCCATCTCATCAAGGGTCTTACTCAAGTGCTGTCCCTCCACCCTCCCAAGCATGATATCCCTCATCAAGGACTGATCCTGCCTTGCATCATGGCCAAAGTATGTCAGACAAGCTTTAGAATACTTGCTTCCAAGGAGTAGCCCAGCTTCACCCTCTCCAGGACAAATGTGTTTGTTCTCTTAGCAGTCCATCGTATATTCAGTACTCTTCTCCAGCACTACAGCTCAAAGGCATCAGTTCTCCTATCATCCTTAGTCATTGTCCAGCTTTCTGATGCATAGCAAGTAGTTGCAAAGACCATGGCCTGTATCAGGCATACTTTAGTCTCCAGACTGACATCATTGCTCTTCTGTACTTCGGAGACGTCCCTGACAGCAGACTCTCCTGATCCAATACGTCTTTTAATTTCCTGGCTGCTGGTACCAAGAGTGTTGATTGTGGAGCCAAGCAAATAATCTGTCAACACTCCCAGTCTCTTTACTATCTGTCATGATGCTGCCCATCAACCCAGTGGTGAGAATCTTTATTTGATGTTGCACTTCAGTCCATATTGAAGGCTGCAGTCCTTGACCCTCCACAGCAAGCGCTTCACGTCCTCCTCAGTTTCAGTAAGCAAGGTTATGTCATCTGCATAACGCAAATTGATGAGTCTGCCTCCAGTCCTGATGCCACATTTCTCCTCATAGAGCCCAGCCTCCCAGATAATCTGTTCCACATATAGATTGAAAAGATAAAGAGATAGGACACATCCTTGTTGCACACCCTTCCCAATTTTGAACCATGCAGTGTTCCCTTACTCTTATCTGACAGCTGCCTCCTGGTTCAAGTGTTCTGGGATTCCCAATGTTGTGAGTGACAGGGTAATATCCATATACATACAAGGAAGTCCAGTGAACCACTATCATTCAAATATGTGTACCAACAACCAGAGCCAAAGAGGGGAAAATAGAAGATGTCTACTCAGCTTTTGCAGTCAGAGATTGATCGAACATGCAGTCAAGATGCATTAATAATAATGGGTGACTGGAATGCAAAAGTTGGGAACAGAGAAGAAAGATTAGTTGGAATACATGGACTTGGTGACAGAAATGAAGGTGGAGATAGAATGATAGAATTTTGCACAAAGACTTACTCATTGCAGATACGTTTTCTAAGAAGCACAAACATAGGCTCTACACGTGGATTTCACCAGACAGTATGCATAGGATTCAGATTGATTACATCTGTGGAAAGAATCACTGGAGAAGCTCAAAAAACTAGGTCAGGTGCTAATGGTGGAACAGACCACCAGCTACTCATATTAATATCAGTAGAATTATGTTTTGCTTAACTTTGACTCAGTATTTTATTTCCCATTTAAGAAAACTGGTGACAGATCATGGACCTAGGACTAAAACCAAGGACTATAAACTTCATTTTAAAAAAGCTTGCAAGAATGCTAGAAGTCCTAATCTACAACATAAACAGTCTTCCAAGTATCCTGAAAAACCTACAACTAGGAGAAGATAGAATAGATGAATAGCACCTTCTAAGAATCAAATCCCTATGCACATCCAAAAACTTCTCTGACGGGGTAAAAATGGAAACCACAGACTGGGAAAAAGTATTTGGTAATGACATATCAGATAAGGGACTTATATCTAGAATTTATAAAGTACTTGAGCACCACAACAAGATAAAGGTAAATAATCCAATAGAAAAATGGGCACAGGATATGAACAGACACTTCACCAAAGAAGACATTCAGATGACAAACAAACATATGAAGAAATGTTCAAAATCCCTAGCTCTAAGAGAGGTACAAATCAAAACAACTATGAGATATCTCACCCCAGTAAGAATAGCAAAATTTAACAGAACAGCAAGCAACAAATGCTGGCGAGGTTGTGGAGAAACTGGAATCCTTATTCACTGTTGGTGGGAGTGTAAAATGGTGCAACCACTGTGGAAGGTGGTATGGCGCTTTCTCAAAAAGTTGCAAATAGAGATACTATTTGACCCAGCAATTCCACTACTGGGAATATACCCCAAAGAGACCATAACTGCCACCCAAGCATATATATATATATGCACACCCAGATTTATTGCGGCTTTGTTCACAATAGCAAGGAGTTGGAAAGATCCTGAGTGCCCATCAACAAACGAATGGATAGAGAAGCACTGTGGTATATTCACACAATGGAATACTACACTGCATTGAAAAACAAGGAACTATGCAATATTATTCAAAATGGGTGACCCTGGAGGACATTATGCTGAGTGAAGTATCTCAGTCACAAAAGGACAAATACCGCATGGTGCCAGCCACTGTTGTAAAACAGGACTGACATCGGGATTGGGGGGAGACTGTGAAAGATGGGTTCAATAATGTTTACTGCATTGAAACAGATGAGGGAGAGAACTGTTTAAAAGGGATATGTGATTAGGTATTTTTGTCATGACAGGAGTCCAGAGCAAAGGCTGTATAGTGGAGTGGACCTGCAGGGAGGGATTATAAAACAATGAAAGAATTTTTCTTTTACTTTTCCAAGAGGGTAGTGTACTAGGGGGGAGGGTTGGGAGGGGAGAAAAGTGCCACAATGAATGTATGAAAATAAAATTTTAAAAAGTGAGGGAGACTTTAAAAGGATTAATGTTATAATTTGGGGGGAAAGGTTTAGGAGACATTTCTTTCAATTATATTTTGAGGTGCAAATTTAAAAAAAAAAAGAAAACTGGTGACGTAGTCATTGGGAGTTGCACTTATAACCCAGAGATGGCACCTCCTGGCTGTTCGAATCCACTGGTTGCTTCATGAGAGAAAGATGGCAGTCTCTCCCTGTGCAGTTTATAACCTCTGAAAATCTACCAAAGGGTCACCTCTGAGCTGGTTCTAATTCCATACCAGTGACTTTGACTTTTGACTAAGCAACTAACGTTCTAATGCATACTGAGGATTCCGTATGAATTTAACCTATTAGAAATAGAGCATACACTCTTGAATATTGTATCAGAAACTTTGTAAAGTGTCTTTGAGTTTTAAGCCTTATAATATGGTCTTTATCCTGCTTCCAAATATTTTGTTGTTATTATGTGCCGTCAAGTCCCTTGCAACTCATAGCGACCCTATGTACAGCAGCCCTAACCTCTGCTCTGTCCTGTGCTAATCGCACTGTCTCCAACACTCCCATCCCAATTACCCCAGTCACTGAATCAATCCACCTCATAGAGGGCCTTCCTCTCCTGCACTGTCCCTCCACTCTCCCAAGCATGATGTCCCTCTCCAAGGACCAGTCTCTCCTTACAGCATGTCCAAAATATGTTAGACGGAGCCTCAGAATCCTTGCCCCAAGGAGCAACCCGGTTTAACCCTCTCTAGGATGAATCTGGTTTTTTTTCCTAGCAGTCCATGGTACCCTCAATACTCTTCTCCAGCACCACAGCTCAAAGGCATCAATTCTCCTTCTATCCTCCCTAGTCATTGTCCAACTCTCTGATGCATAACAAGTGATTGCAGAGACCATGGCCTGTATCAGACGCACTTTAGTCTCCAGAGAGACACCATTGCTCTTCACAACTTTGGAAGGTCCCTAACAACAGACTTTTCCATCGCAATATGTCTTTTAATTTCCTGGCTGCTGATGCCAAGACTGTTGACTATGGAGCCAAGCAAACTAAAGCTGTGTACAATCTCAATCTCTTCACCATCCATCCTGATGCTGCCAGTTAGTCCAGTGGTGAGAATCTTTGTCTTCTTGACATTGAGCCTCAATCCATATTGTAGGCTGCAGTCCTTGACCCTCTGCAGCAAGTGCATCAGGTCCTCCTCAGTTTCAGCAAGCAGGGTTGTGTCATTTGCATAATGCAGATTGTTGATAGCAAGTCACGTAGAGGGGGCAGAAAGAAATCTTCACAGGCGGGAAAATCAGGACAGCTCAAGGGGCCTTAAAAGCTCCACCCACTTCACAGGAAACCAGGAAGTCTGCTTCCAAATATAGTTAGGTTTATTATAAATTAATTACCTCTTTAAGTGCTTTGATTTTGTGATATAGGAAAAAACTTGCAATTTTTTTTTGTAGAAATGAAAGGAAATCATGCCATATATTTCCATATCTTCTTTTACAGCTGGAATCTGAAAATGCCAAGTTAAGAAATATAAACTTCTCTCTGTCTGAAGCCCTTCATGCACAGTCGCTGACAAGCATGATCCTGGATGATGAAGGGGTTTTGGGCAGCATTGAGAACTCCTTTCAGAAGTTCCATGCTTTCTTGGATCTCCTTAAAGATGCTGGGTTAGTTAATTCTGCACTGTGCATTCTTCCTTCCAATATTTTTAATGATATTTTGCTGGGGAACTTGAGCTATTTTCATCATTAGCATAAACCATCCTTAGTATGTAATTATAGGTTATATACATATTTTTTATGGCAATTAATCTTTTAAAAGTGATACAAAATGTCAAATGTGCTTTGTCCGAGTAGAGAGTCCATTGCAGAGTATCCTGTAGATTAAATGCTACGTTTAACTCTTGATAAAGACTAAATTGAAGGTCATTTCAGTTGACCATGATGAGAAATATGTTGGTCTTTCCTATATTCATTCATTTTGCTTATTAATTAAATTGGAGTTAAAATTGGTTTTGCTTTCAGCATAAAAAGTGTTTTTTTAATCTGAAGGGAAGCTAAATATTGTAGGCTCTTTTGTTTTCCTGTGAGCAGTTTTACTGAAGGAGTTGGAGATGGGTAATTATTGATGGAGTAATGCCTTACAGGTGAATAGATTGATATTGTAAAAGACTTTTCCCTTTATTTTTATATTGATTTGCTTACAGAGTTTGTATACATTGTATTTCACACTATTCTTCATTCACATTGTGTTTCATACAATCTTCCCCATGCATTATGTTTTATAAAATTAATCACCATTGCGAGCTCTGGTGGCCTAGTGGCAAGAAGCTGTAACTGCAGTTTCAGAGATGCACGGTTCGAATCCACCAGATGCTCTGCTGGAGAAGGAGGAACAATCTCCTCCTGTACCAGTCAGATCTGATTTGACGGTACACACAAAAAATAATGAAATAAAAAGAAATTAAAAAAAAATTAATCACCATTGCACATTGCACAATCATCACCTTGTATTTTCAGGTAGGTCCCCACTGGATCCTTCTCATTTCCTTCACCCCCTCCCTCCACCCACCAAAGTGTACAACCCTGTGGTTTCACCCCTACCCATCCTCATCCTTCCGTGCCCACTCTTACTCCCCTTGGGTCCCCGTACATGTTTCACTAGTTATCCTTCTGTTTTTACAATAATGATCTTATACAGTATTTGTCCTTAAGAGACTGAGTTAGTTCACTTAGCATAATGCTGTCTAGTCCCTCCCAAGTTATGTGGTATTCTTCAAAAGAAAAGAACATTTTTGGAGACTAGAAGGAAGGTGATATTATGTGGAGATGGCAGTGCAGGAACCGGACCAGGCAGTTGTTGGAAGTTGATACTGCTGGTCTGTAAGTGGACAGGTAATGGGTGAGGACTTGAAGTGGGGCGGCAGTTGACACATGTTAGGAGGAAGTGGGAATGCTTAGGAGATCATTTGATTTCTGCGATCCTGGTACATCAGTATGGAAAGGTCTGAGAAAATGAGAAAGAGTGGGTTGTAGTCTGAAGGATGATACTGGCTTTTAAGATTTTAGAAGTAAGGAAATCAAAGCTATTCTTAGGTGGTTATAATAACTCTTACATCTTCCCCCTTCTCTTATCTAGACTTGGACAACTTGCTACAATGGCTGGAATAGATCAAGCAGATTTTCATTTACCAGGTCGCCCCCAGATGAATTCAACTTTTAGCAATGAACATAAAGAAGAAAGTAAGGCACCTGAAGGAGAACAATCCGAAAAAACGGTGAATTCCCAAGGACAAGTACAGAATATCCAAGTAAGTAGTAGGAAGGGAATTACTAAAGCAGGAAGAACATAACTAATGATCTGTTTCTGATAGTTCAAATGCCTTGAGTCAAAAGCCTCATTAGTATCCTTTCCAAGTCTGAGTTTAGTATTTTGAGCCCATTTTACAATTTTATATTATTGTAAATAAGAATACTGGACGTTCTTTTGAAATTTTAGAATCTAAAACAAACTATTCTCAGTGAGTAAAGAAAGATTAGAGAAAATATTCTAAGTATTAAATTTCGTAAATGTCTATTTTATTCATATTTCATCTAGGTTTCTATTTGTATGCAGTCAGCTTACAATGAAGGAACACTAATGAAGGTACAAATACTGATAATTTCTTAAAATAATAGGTAATACAGTGTAGATAATTACGGAAATGAAAGAAGTTCTGGAAATGAAAGAAGATAGCTTATTCAACTGTAGAGGTGCCTGCCACATCTTCTCTGCCTCCCTGACCCCCAAGTCCCATCTCCCAGTCTCAGGCTGTTCAGGGAACTGTCAGCTTGAGAGCATAGTCACCAAATGAAGACTGAGCTCATGTACCTGCAAGATAGAAAGGAAGCCAATTTTCTTAAATAATTCTCTTTAAGTGAGGAAGAGGGAAATAAATGGCTTTCAAAATGAAGTCTGAAAATGTGATGGGCGTAGCTTTGGATATAACTAAGTCAGGCTTGAAATCATTATCAATTTATAGGGGGGAAATGACTCTAAAACTTAGGACTTATCAGTGATAGTTTAAAATCACAGAGTAATGCTATAGTTTTGACCTCTGCTTTCTTTGCTTTTTAATAACTTGCTTTATTCATCACTAAATTTTTGTTTTCCTTCTAGTTTCAGAAAATTACAGGTGATGCTACAATTCCTTTGCCTGTCCCCTCCTTCCATGCCCCAGTTTCTGCTCAGGACACCTTCATAACTTCCAAAGACAGCTTGAATATCCCAGGTCCTGAGCAACAGCAGGAATCTTTCAAAGAATTTCTTTCTAGAGAGTGTTCTACTCCAACAGATGCCATTTCTGAAACTAGAAGTCAAAGAAAAGAAGAGTTATCCGGAAGTAGCAGCAGATCTTCAGAAAAAATGACCAAAACAGATGACTATTCAAAGAAATTCTCTAAGAAACAAAATGGACGTAGTCTGCATTTCTGTAATTCTTCTGGGAACCAGAAGAGCAAAGGAGTTGGGGGAGATGGTTAAAAGTGAGTCTGAAAAAAACACATTCCTGCCAAGGAAGAAGATGGAATAGTGGCTGTTTCATCCAAGACAGAGAAGTAAACCTGTTCAACTAGAAGAATCTGATTTTTCATGTCAAGAGAGTATCCATACTCTGTCACGCTTGACATAGGTCTGAATTTTTTTAATGTTATGTTTTTGCCTTTAAATTTTAATAAATTTTCTTATGTTTTCATTATGGTATATGGTGTTTTAAAAGTAGGATTAGAAGCCATTAGGGAAAGATTTAGCTACACTTTTTATTACAATGACATTTTGATACTCTGCACCATTCACTGAGTATTTAGTAAGGGCTTGATTCTTTATGCTTTAGCTTTCAGCAGTGAATGGAACAAAGCCACGGACTCGGGGAGCTAACCTCCTATAAGAAGGAACATCCAGAGAAGGAGAGGAAAATAAATAGAGTCTATGAAGGGGAATAGAAAATCATGTCTATAAATATTATAACTTTATCATCCTATTAAGTATAGAAACACATTGAGTTATAGAGCCAATCATTGATTTATCCTTATTCGTATCAACCACAGTGGGAAACATTGAGTGAGAGGCTTAGCCACTCATTGTATTAGGGATTATAAATAAAGGGGCCCTAGTTGACAAAAAATTGCACCTGTCTAAAGTAGGCAGTTAGAATCCACCAGATTGTTCAAGGGAGAAAGATGGGTAGTCTCCTCCCATGTGATTTATATCAAACCCACTGAAGGATCAGCTGTTAGTGAATTCTGACTCAACAGCCATGAATGAGAGCAACTTTTTAAGGTAGGAAAATATGATTCCCATTTTATAGATAAGAAATTTGAGATGATGTGAATTGTCCAACTACATAGCTATAAATGAGTGTCAAAACTAGGACTTGAGCCAGACAGAACGCATGCTCTCTGTTACAAGATCTGTTTCCTTGACGAGAGAAGTCAGCACTACGTGTAGCTCTAACAGTAGGGCTAGCAAGAACAGCTGTCCTTTCCCCCCTGCATCTGGGTAGAATTTTTTAAATGCAGAAGATGTAAGATGATAAATTCCTATCTCTAAACTAAACTATCCTTCCTGATAAAGTATGCATGGCTAAGTCACTTAGCACAGCCAAACTTGAGAGATAAGATGCAAGAAAATGAGGAGTATCCAATTTCTTCTGGAAGGTCCTGCATGATTGTCACCAAAAGGCTGTTACTGCAGTGCTATTTAATTTATTAATCATAGACTGAAAGTTTGAGGAATCTTAACAGATGTAGTCTTAGACCTTTAATAATAGAACAGGAGGGAGAAACAGCAGCTGTTTGAACTCTACATGTTGCATTCTGTGATGAGAATACTTGGTGATCTAGCAATAGAGGAGAGAATGGGGCTGATGTGGGCTAAAAAAGGACATCTAAAGAGGTGAGAGCAGGTGCAGCCACTGTCCTCCTTAGGGGCAGGAATAGCAAAGCTTCATCTCATACTTTGGGAATGATGCCAGGAGAGGCTATTCCTTGGAGAGAGATAACATGCTTGGAAAGATGAAGGGTCAAGGAAAGAGAGGAGTCCCCTCAACCAAGTGGATTGAGACAGTGACTGCATCCTTGGGCTCACGCGTGTCAGAGATGAGGATGACGGCACAGGATAGGACAGGATTCAGATCTATTCATAGGGTCGTTGAGAGTCATACTCGACAGCATCAAACAACAAAAGAGGTGACTAGGCTAAGACTTGAAAGACTGGATAGAGACCTGTGATTTGGAGATGAGGCGAAACATACTTAGAAAATAGAGTGGGTAAAAGTATGGAGCCATTAGTGTGTGCCATGTTTAGGGACCACACTGCCAAGAGTTTGGAATTACTGGCATGTCACTAGTGGCAGGGCTGCTAAAGTAGGCAATTGGGGGAGTGATTTTAAGTTCTGCAGTCCACACTTCGTCAGTCAGGTTCTTCCTCAGAACAGAGGTAATGAAGAATGGAAATGACCTGTTAAGACTTGCATTTGCAATCATTATCGTCAGTGTGGAAAGTAAAAGTGAAAGAACATAAAGATAATTTAAGCCATGCACTTCAGAAGAGCTTTGGGTTTTTTTAAAGGGACTTATACTGCCACTTCTGTCCTCATGGAAGGAGTTCTGTGCGAAAGCAGTCTGGGAGGCACTGAGCTAGATTAGGGAGGTTTGGTGGCATAATGTGTAGCAAGAGGCCCTGCTAATCAAAGAGTCTGCAGTCAAATCCACCACTGACTCCATGGGAGAAAAATGGGACAGTCTCCCATTCAATTTCTCAGGGCTGCTGTAGGCCAAGGTTGGTTCATCCTGTCTTCAAGATGTCCACGTAATAGGCATTATTTCTATAATTACAGAATCAAGTGTAACATCAGTTTTGTAAATTCTGAGTTAGGCAACAGCAAGAAAATAAAGAGGTCAGAAACTGTAATAAAAGGGTTGAGATTTAAATGTTCTTTTTAAAAAAATTTAGAAAGTATAAAAGTTGAGCAAGGATTCACATTTGTGACTCGGGTTCGGTAGTGGTGTCTTTGGATTAGAAATAACAACTGCTTTGGAGAAAAATGTTTAGTGTTGGGCAGAATAGATTTTAAAGCCAAACTTGAGAAGATAGCTAGTAAATAGAACATAAAACATGAACATGGATCATTTCCATAATAATGGGCCTCTTCCATGGAGCACATGCAAATATAAAATTTGGAAATCAGCATATGTAAGCACTTAAAATGGTGGATGAGTCACATAACTGGGGAGTTGGCAAAAATAAACTGCAAGGTTCTGAGAAAGAAGAGAGTTAAAAGTAAGTGTCCACTGGATTTGGCAGTTTGATCCCTGATAACCTTGAACAGTTCTGTAGGGTGAATGAGAAAGTCACACTGCAGTAATGAAGGGGGTGGGCAGAGGGGCAGGGAATGCTCACCAGGTACTCTGTATTTGCAAACCCTTTGCTGTCAAGTTGGAACCAGTGTAGGTGAGATTCCATTGAGTTTCTGAGACAGTAAACCCCATGGCAGAAGATTGCCTATGCTCAATTCAAACCACCAAAAGACGCAACCTTTGGATTAAAAGAGCAACTCTACAGACTATGCCACCGCTACATAAATTTGGCAGACGCTACTTCTACATTCATATCCACATATGCTGTAAGTTGTAAGATGCCCCTGTGTCAACAATGACTCCTGATGACCTTACGAACAACCTCACCATCCTCTCTTTCTCTGACCCTCCACCTTTCCCAACATGATGGTCTTTTTCAAGGACTGGTCCCTCTTGAGAACATGTCCAAAGTACATGAGAAGTTTCCCCATCCTTGCCTCCAAGGAGCACCCTTGTTGCACTTCCTTGATGATAAACTTGTTTGTAGTACATCCATGCATGTAGGAGAGTAAACTTCTTACTATAAGCTGCTTACCACAACACCCTAAGGGACAAGTTCTTGGTTCTGTCTCCTTGGGACCATGGTCTTAGAGGACATAACATAGTCCAAAAGACAATGTTTTATATCCTGCTTTGCTGAGTAGCAATTGGGATCTTACAACTGTGAAGAACTAAGGTGCAACTACTGATCAGTCTCTTTCTATATGGAACAAGGAAGGAAAGAAAAAAACAAAGATGTTCTAACACAAGCAGTCCAAAGAAAGGAGTAATAGACTGGACATATCTCAACAGCTATGATCCTAAGACCAGAAGCACTGGCCACACATGGATGACTGTAGGAGATTTGGGCAGAGTAGACAAAAATGTGAAACAAAACTCATAAGGAACTGGTGGGTAAGGAGTTGCACTGTCAACCCCAACTCATGGAGTTTGCATCCACCAGCTGCTCTGGAGGGAAAGGATACACAAATCTCTTGGGGTGCAATTTCCACTCTCTGAAAACCCACTAATGGGTGAGCTATGTATGAGTCACTTCTGACTCCATCGCAATGAGTTGTTTATTGAGTTAGATCTTGTATACACAATTATTCTTAGGCACCATCCAGTCAGCTCTGATCTATGGCAGATTGAAACCTTTGTGTGCCACCCTCACTGTCCCTGACATGCTCAAAGCCATCGTTATAGTCACTGTCAGTTCATCTTGTAGACAGTCTTTCTCCCTTTCTCAGATCCTCCATGTTTATTAAAAAAAATAATCATAAAAAAATCATAATTATTGGTTTGCATATAATCATTCATACACTTTGTGTTTCATACATGTTTTGTATTTTATACAGTCATCCATGTTACATTAATGTACCTGTGTTTTATATAATCATTCATACACATTATATTTTATATACCTAATTAACATTGATTTACGCTTGTTATCCCCCTGCCTTTTCAAGCCCACAGTGCATATTTCCCATTCCTTCACCTCCCCCTCTACCCACCAGCCTCTGCTATCCCAGTGATCCCCTTTTCTCCTTTTTCTGCCCTTCTTTCCCCTTCTCCTTTTCTTATTTTTAAATTTTTAATTTATATGTTAACCATAGTTTATAAAGAACTTGAATTTCCATTCATTCATTGTTGCACATTTTCCTCCCTACTCAACCTCCCAGTTCACTTTTGTTTTTGGAAAAAAAAATTTTTTTCATTGTTGCACAATTTCCTCCCCCACCCCACCTCAAGTCCACTTAGCTATGCATCTCTTATTCTGGACTTGTTTTATGCAAATAATACCTAATTTTCTATTCTTTTTTTAAACAGTTCTTTCCCTCAATGCAGTGTACATTATTTATCCCTTTTCTTAGTTCCTTCCCAACCCCCATGTCAGTCCTGTTTTTTAACAGTGGCACTCTGCAGTATTTGTCCTTTTGTGACTGAGATATTTCACCCAGCATAATGTCCTCCAGGATCATCCATTTTGTATAATATTTTATGAGTTATTTGTTTTTCACAGATCCTCCACCTTGATGTCTTTCTGCAAAGGCTAGCACCTCCTGACAATAAACCCAATGTATGTACAATGAAGTCTTAACCACCCTTGCCTCTAAGAATCACCTTGGCTGTACTTTATCTAAGACA